TAATGGAGACAGTGACATGTTCTTGAGACTTAGTTGTTTATGAAATGACAGCTTAAGTGTAATTGTTCCCTGAGGAACAGTGTCACGTCACAAATATAGTTGAAACCAATTAAAGCCAGTTCAGAAAAGCATTTGGTCTTTACCAACAAAGAACATAATTACAGGATCTTATACATTATGCAGTGAAACCTCTATGTTGGTTTACTGTCTTTGAAAAGTTTCCTGTTTACAACTGTAACACTTGTAATATGATAATATATTTGCAATGTAATAATTCACACCTGGAAAAATATCATTCATCTTGGAAATAACACTTTCACCTTTTATTCAAATCTAGGCACAAATGAATTTATTAATAAAAATGAAAGTTAAAATATATTACATTCTCAGAATACAGTTATCAAAAACCAGATCCTGACTTTGGTTAAGGAAAGAGTTTATTTGAAAGTATTACAAAAAAGTATTACAAGAGCAGGGAGGGGGCCTTGTAATAGGGAGAAGATCTGCGCCTCATGAGATCAGTCAGACAGCCAAGGCTTTGCTTTATGAGGAGAGGGCATGAGGCCAGCAAGGTGGGGGAAGTGGGAGGAGTGGGTGGAAGCGGCATGAAGGGACAGTAGATCAGAAAACGTTCACCCTGAGGCTGGCGCCTGAAGTGGAGGGGTCTCTCTCGGGGGTTGTATGCTGGCCCAGGTTGCTGGTGGGTCACATTCAGGGTCCTGAAGAAAGAGAGAACTTCCCTGAAGTTTGATCAGGTCAGGTTAGTGGACATTTTCTGATTTATCAGTGGGGACAACAGGTCAGCTAATCTTGTGTGGGGCAAAGAATGTGCATTTAGAGGGTCTGTGTCTGGCCTTGTCGCAGGTGAACAGCGGGTCATCCACAGATCTTATCTAAATCATGTGCGGAGGAGTAGTTCTTAGCAATGAGCCATTCCCAGGAATGGAAAAGGGCCTGGGCTTGTCCTCATCATACTGTTTTTCAGGAGTACAGGGTCGGGTTAAATTCAGCATCCTTCCAGTGCTCAGCACTTACCTGATGCGCCTTAATCTTCATGATAACCCTTCAGTGTGAGGACTCTCACAAGCTGTGACTTGGCTTCCTGAGGACCGGGAAGGCTAAGGAACTGCCAAGGTCACGCTGCCAGTAAGGGGCGCCGTGCTACTTTGGAAGGCTGTGGCCTGGGGGCACCAGTGGGCGGTCCTAGTACTCAGAGCAAGTGAGACAGCCATGCCGCCTGACTTGTGTATTGTCATGTTGTCTGAAGAATCTGTGTCACTCAGGCCTTTTCTTGTTGCAAGTAGCAACCTGGGCTAGCTTAAGATTTGTTTTGTTTTTTGAAGTATGTGGGGTACCTTACAGAATCCGTGGAGACATTGAACTTGTAATCTGCAAGAAGGCCTGAAGCAAGGACTTAAAGCCTAAGAAAGAGAGAGGAACCAGAGTCAGTGACTCCTCTCCCTAGCGGTGTTTCTCAACAGGGACACAAATGACATTGTACACAGGGCACTTCTTCGTTGTGAAGGGCAGTCCCACCATTTCCGATGTGTAATATTCTTGGCCTTTGCCCACTAAATGCCAGTAGTGACCTACATCATTGTGACAACCAAACAGACGTGCTAAGCATTTCCAGATTCCCTGGGAGGTGATGCAATCAGGGGTTGAGAACCCGACCAAGCAGCCGAGCGCAGTGCCATTGTTGTGACTCAGCATTAAGGACATGAGTGTCCACACTCTTAGTTATAAACCTCAGACTCCATGACTTCCAGTCAGAGGCCAACTCCATGGCCCGCCTGGGTGGCCTGGGAACAGTCCTGCCGTTTCAGTGTGCGGGCTCCTTTGGTAGCCTCGTGGATGGAGGGGAGTCAGTTTTCAGTAGTCAGTGGATATTGTTCATATAGATTTATGTATGTCCATAATAGCTGAATTCATCAATTTGTTACTTACTAATTTGGCCTGGAGTATGCACAGTCTGTTGGTTGCTCTCTTAGGTGATTTTTTTATACCTTTCTGTATTTAATTCATATTTACTGTTCATCAATCAGTGGGTTGTAAAATCCCTGTGTGGTAGATGAAGTCTGGGACTCATGAGGCTGACTTGACATAGAACATGTAACTCCTGCACAATATGTGCTTGAACAGAGAAGGGAGTGAAAGTGTTTCTGACTGTCAAAACACTCATTTATGTCCTTTTTGTGAGTGAAAGACTAACAAGTTAAATGGAGAAAGAAATCCTAAGGGCATATAAAATCATAAAAATACTTTTCCTTCTTATGTAGAGTTCTACAAGTGACCTTGAATAAATCATATCATTCTGTGGACTTCAGTTTCCTCAGTATAAAATTAGATGTTTGGACTGGATGATTTCTAAGGTGTCTTAGTTTTTGTTAATGGGGAAATATAAGATGTGATGTAAATATGGCTGCTTGACCACAAATTTAGTCTCATGCCATCTTTGAAACCTTCCAAAATGAATATAAATGAAGGGAAAAGGCACAGATACTCAAAGACAAGAATGGAAGGGTGAAGCAATAATAGGCCAACGATGGGAGTGAAGTTTCGGTGGCTGCAAAATAGATGGACAAATGGTAATGACTTAGGCATCAAGAGAAAGCAGAATTCAGGCTTACAGGGCAAGAGAAAGTGTCCCAGAAACATGGGCGTTAGTACGGAAATAGCTCGAGGAGGCTCAGGAATCATGGACACTAGTTATTGAGAAGGTGGATTGGTGGGCAGAACTGAAGAAGAAGAGACTTGGTTCAGAGTTTGTGTGAGAAGTGGTTAGACCATTGGATGCTCTGCCTGGCTGATAAAACCAGGCATCTGCCTTCTTAACCTACAGCAGGCTAGAGATTTCCTGGAGGGATTGAATAAAGAAGCCTTGGGCTCTCAGACCCAGATAGATACAACTGAGGGCTAGAGATGCCACACTGAAAATGAGGGTATTTATTTCCCTTATATAAAGGTGTGCACCTACTAGTGGGAATCCCAGCATTCCAGCAGCCAAGCTGATACCTCCTCCTGGGAGATTGGGGAATTCCTATTCAGGGTAATGCTTACCTAGGCCAAGAGAAGAGAAACACAGATACTGATATTTGAGTAACGTTTGATGAAAAAACTAGCCTACCATCTTAAAGTGAATTGTCAAGTCCAGTTGTCAAATCCTGTGGATGAAAGCAGGACTTCAGGTAGTGTTTTGGAACCTCAGCCTTACATTTTTAAGAATAGGCAGCAGAGGATTACTGGTCACTTGAGGAAAGCCCATAATGTACAAAGAGACCAGTTCACAAAATGTGAATCTGTTGGAAGAAGCAGATACTAGAAGCTCCAAGTCGGGGTGGGGGTCGGGGGCACTGCCATTCATATCCTCAAAAATATAAGAATTTATATCACTTCCATAAAATATTTTTAAAATGCTATAAAAAAGAACAAATATAAGAAAATACTATTAATAGTTAAACATTTGATAGCAGAAATGAAAAAAATCAATAGATATGTAGGAAATGTACTTAAATTCCCCAGAAAGTAAAACAGAGAAGGTGAAAGGGAAAGAGGAAAAATAAGAGAGAAATTTAGAGTTCCAACTCAGGAGATCCTAATAGCCAAATAATAGAATTTCCAGAAAGAAAAAGCAGAGAAAATGGGGAACCAAGAATAAGGTAGAGATGAGTGGATGGAGACACTGATTTTTTTTTTCTATGTTGTATTATTTGATATTTTTAACTCTATATGTATCATTTCTATATTTTTAGAGAGTAATCGACTTAAAATTAAATTTAAAAAACAAAACATACTTACATGTGAAGGTTAAAAATACTGTAGATATTTGAGTTTTCATTGAAGACCAATAAAATTAAAAGTAGGCAAGGAAAAAATATCATTTTGATTTTTTAAAAGTATATATTTTAAGAAAATTACTTCAATTACCATAGAGAAATTGAAGAACAGTTTTCTCTTAAAAACAGCAACAGCACAGCAGTGGCACAGATCGTGGAGGAGCTGATGCCAAAACAGCGGCTGCATGAGTTTGTAATCAGAAGTGTTGCCAAAGAGAACAGTTTCCCTCCGGCCAATAGGGCTGACTTTCTGGGAACAAGAAGTATTCATGACTTACCTTAATTATGGGAAAGCTTTTAAAAGTTGTGTGAAATTCCTAATTACAGTCCTTTCATTCAAGATATATTTATTGTCTTTTCTATGCTAAGCATTGTTCTGATTCATTTATATGGACCCATTTAATCTTCCTAACAGCCTTACGGGAGTAGGTTCTGTTGTATTTCACTGTTCTCATTTTACAGACGAGGAACCCACGGTACAGAGAGGTCAGGTGACCCAGTTAACTAGCTGGGTTACTCAGCTGGTAAATGGAAAAGCCAGGTTTTAAAACCATGGCAATGTAGCCTCAGAGTCCATATCATTAATGAATTCACTTCTGCTGTGCTTATTAAATTAAGAACCCTAAGAATCAAGACTCATTAATTTGTCAACATTTTCATAGCTAGTTATTTTAGAAGAGATAGATGGATTTTGTCATAAAGCTTTGTGAGCCACCAAATGCTTGAGAACTCATCTAGGCCAGCGCAATCCCTGGTTGACGAACCAGGGCTCAAGTGCTGAGGTTAGGTGGAAGGACCCAGACACTCCATAGTGACCAGCCTGGAGCACCTTACATCTTCCCCACCTACATCCTCATCTTACTAGCACTGTGCATGGTTGAAGTCAAATATGCGTTAAAATTGTCAGGATAGCAACCTAGGATTTCTGGGAATTAGCTTAATTTGTAATTTGTGAAATCTAACCATCATTGAAATGATTGGTTTTTACTTTACGACTTTTAAGCCCCATTATATGTGGTTTGTGGAGAGGCATATAGCAGGAACTTAAATATTTGGCATTAATTAGTGATTTGTAGCATACTGTAGTGTTTACTGACATTCAAGATTAATAAATTACTTTCAGATATGAATGTTACAATTTTGGTTTGTTTGTTTTTTCCCTAGTTCAACTTTGTGGGGAAACTTTTGGGTCCCCGTGGCAATTCTCTGAAGCGTTTACAAGAAGAAACCTTGACAAAAATGTCCATCCTTGGGAAAGGTTCCATGCGAGACAAGGCAAAGGTAACATTCATCATAGACAATGGCTACTTCGGAGACAAGTTGCATAATGTACTTTTAGATTATCCATTGTATTAGTACAAATTATATTAGAGCTAGCTAGGATTGCGAATGAAATTATATGAAAATGTTGTATAAGGCGAAGAGTTTGTGGTACTGTGTAGAAAACGGAGTCTCTTGGACCATTTTAAGAATATATGGTGTCCTCCGTGTACATCTGTAACTATTACCTTCATTTGTAAAATGCAATAGCGGTGCCTGTGGTTTCGACTGTAGAAGCAATTCCTCGTAGAAAGTACAGTGATACTGAAATTACCACGGAGAGAAAAGGTGTCTGCAGTCTTAACTGCCGCTGTTTGCATCTTCGAGGAGTTCCTGGGGGCCTTTTTTCTATGCCTGTATTTGAAATAGTTGAGTTTATAAAGTATACACTTGGATTTGCTCTTTTTGCCCTTCATTTAATACCCTGTACATTTTATCAAGTTAAAATTGATTTTAAATGTTTTACTAGTGGCTTCGTATTCTCACACACAGTAGCTCTACTTGGCTCTAGTCCTTCTAACTGCCTCTTTTTTTTTTTTTTTTCTGTGATAAGCTAAAATTACTGAGTTTTTTTATTGATCACTTTCTTAAATACACCACTTCTGAAAGAAGTTTTCACGTTTCATAGTGTGCTGTCATCACTTACATTATTCTCCATTACCGTTTTGTTGCTCTGTCACTGTGAAGAGATTGATGTCACTGAAAACCAAACCCACATTCCGTGGCCACTTTCCATGAAATGTTGAACAATGATTGTGTCAGATAAGAAAGTTATTTAGACAAAATGCAGCCTCTTCGCACACACAAAAAAGTCCATCTAAACAAAGGCTTTTATAATAAAAAATGGCTGCCATTTGTTTATCGAACAGCTGCTGTGAGTGCATTACTCTGTGTTATCCCTAGAAAAATGATGGAAGATACATAACATTTTCCTTACTTTACATGTAAAAAAACTGAGATTTAGAGAACCTGAGTATATTATCTGTATTAATCAGGGAAGTTAAATTATTTGATTAAAACAGGGCTGTTATCATACTCACATGGAGTGCTGTTTAAAAATAAGATTCCCATACAACCTTTTTAGGGTAGAACCTCAAAATGAATTTTCAGTGGTTATTTGAAATGATTCTAATGTGTGGCCAGGTTAGATTAACTATTCACTAAGCCTTCCTGTCTCAAATGATGTTACTTTGATTCCCTGACTCATCTGTTCTGGCAGCTGGAGGAGATGGAACCATATATTGGTCAGTTGGTCAGAAATTTTGTATAACCCATCCTTGCTGATATCTTAATTAGGTCTTCAATAAAGCCGTCTGGTCATGAAGTACATGAAATGACCAGTGAAATTCATCAACATACTGCTTATTTTGTTTCTTGTTAAGGGAGGTTTTTTTGTTTTGTTTTGTTTTTTGTCAGAAGCGACATTTTGTGGCATACGGTGGCAGTGATGAGGGCATCCACAGATAGTTTCACAGGTACAAAGGAAGGAGGGAAGGCAAGTCTTTAGCTGGATTATATGTCCAAGTAATAACAAGTGCCTGGCTATCCATTTAATGAAAAGGATTCTAAATATGGTCACTTTGCTATCAGGGCTTGGTGGTTTTTCTAGATTATGTTGTCATTTTAAGGGCTATCTCTGCTGTTGGCATATTGGGCATTCAGCAGTGCAGTAGCTAAGAATCCTTTTTGAGGGGAGTCTGTGTTGTGAAGTAATATGTAACCTCTCTCTCTGTTGCCACAGACACTTTGTTCAAGTCCCTTGAGTAGCACTGAGGTGGCTGGGCAAGGAGGTGCTTTGACATCTACTAAAATGAGTCCCTCTGTCCTCCCCGGTCGCTGAGTGCTTGCTCTGCATTGCATGGGGCACCCTGTTCTCTTACACACTCAGTGGGTCTAGGCTGCTTTCCTAGACTACTTTCCAGCCCTTCACTAATCCTCTCATTTCTATGTCCTTGACCACATGGGTCTGAGAATCATTATAGAGATTCTGTAAGTGGCTGATCATTTCCATTCCATCAAGACACCCAGGAACTGGGGAAGTAGCATACATTTGGGGTTTACAGTCCATTGAACTGCTGTCAAGGGATAGGATCAGAAGCCCTTTATTCTCTTGACCCTGTAGATCCCACTGTCATCAGTGGCCCTCAGTGGAGAAGCATTTGCTCAGAGTCAAGTTTGTTAATCCTCAGGCTTTCTGGGTATTTATCTTATCAGTGCATAGTTGCTCTAGGAAAAGGCCCCAGCTCCTTGGTGGGAAGACAAGGAGGAAGTGTCACATGTACACAAGGAGGTATTCACAGTTATTATTAGCTTTCTTATTCTCTGCATCCCTGGGGCACACAAGGATCTGATCCTGGGCCAGGAGGTCATACCAAGAAGCAGTAATAAAGCGTGACACCTGGGTGGCTCAGTCGTTAAGTAAGTGTCTACCTTCCGCTCAGGTCATAGTCCCAGGGTTCTGAACTCGAGCCCAGTGTCAGGCCCGCTGTTCTGTGGGGAGCCTGCTTCTCTGTCTCCCTCTGCCCCTCCCCCCGACTTGTGTGCACACTCTCTCTCTCTGCCTCTCCTCTTGTTCTCTCTCTCAAATAAATAAATAAAATCTTAAAAAAAAAAATAAAGCCAGAGAATTCCCATCTCCTTTCAAGGAACTACCTTGGCTATTCAAAACAAGGCAGGAAAAGTTTCACCAGACAGGCTTCTGCCTGTGTGGAAGGCTCAGTGGGGTTTCAACATTTGAATACTGAGGGTTGTTTGAATCCTCCCAAATGTTGCCAGTCCAGTTCTCAGATCTTCACTGTTCTCCAGACATTTTCCTAAACCTCACAGAAGAGGTGGCTGGGCAGTCTACTGTCCTTCAGCAGCACACAGGCTTCAACTCTGCTTCTGCCTGTTGGCTCCATAAGCCTGTGGCCATAAGCAGTACACCTCCTAGCCTACTTCTGGCTCTTTGAGACTTGAACTCGTAATGTCAAGTCTTGAGTCTGTCATTTTCCTTTCAGAACTCTTCGGTACAGTTTGACCCCACTCCCCCTGCCTTGTTTTCCTCTTGTGCATCATACTGTGGCCGGCCTCTGCCACACGTGGCCATCAGTCTTCAGAAGCATGTCAGTGGTGTCACCACAGGTGATCATTCAGGTAACAGGTTTGCTATAGAAGGGGAGACCACTGGTACCCTGTCCTGTGCTGCAGTCAGGTCCTCACTGCCTGAACTCTTGAATGCTGATCTCTGTTGATCCTTTTAGTCTGCAGAAATTCTCAGTTAATAATGTTTATTGCTAAAGAGATTTCCATTACTATTAAAATCTCATCTTTTAGCTTTTCATAGTGTTCACTATCTAAATTCTAATGAGACCATAATTCATTTTATTCTTGTATTTTCTTTTTTTTTAAAAGATTTTATTTATTTATTTGACAGACAGAGACACAGCGAGAGAGGGAACACAGCAGGGGGGAGTGGGAGAGGGAGAAGCAGGCCTCCCGCCGAGCAGGGAGCCTGATGCGGTGCTCGATCCCAGGACCCCGGGATCATGGCCTGAGCCGAAGGCAGACGCTTAACGACTGAGCCACCCAGGCACCCCTCTTGTATTTTCTACATTGATGAAATTACGGGAGTCATTACTGACTTGTATCAGTTGGTTATGTAGCATAATAATCACCGTAATGCTATGGTCTTTCGAGCCTTCAGTTTGTGCCAAGCATGCTGGCTGTTTTGCCCTTATCGTCTATATTATAGAATAATAGAATAATTAATACTGTAGTCATCATTTATTGAGTGTTTATTATGTACTAAGCACAGTTCTAAAGATTTTTTGTGTCTTTAAACATGAAACTCTCTTTTTACTACAACTCCTTTATATTACTAATAACTCCTAGTCACTGTTCTGGTAACTCCTTTATTGCTACTCATTGAGCAGTAGATACTATACTGTTACTCTGCACTTAAAATCACCTCTTCAAGATGATAAAGTAATGTGTCCAAAATTATACAGTACGTGTTGAATTTGGGATTTGAACGCAGAACTCCAAGTGAAGTCTGTGTTCTTCCCCAAACACCATGTTGCCTGTCCCTGCTAACCCAGGACAGAAGCTGATAAAGCTCCTCGCTCTGTGGGGATGAGTGACAGCAGCTGGGCTAAGAAAGCCTCTCTCCCCGTTTCCATCTGGGGTAGCAACGGCAGAGGGCTTCACTGTGCGTCACAGTTTCTCTCATTAATATCCGTAGTGTGATGCTGTATTCTAATAGGGAAGCAGTGTTGAGGTCAGTAGTTTATACTTTCAGAAGTGAACTGTTGAACATAAAATTCAACTTTATGAAGTTTAAAACTTCAGCTCTGAAAGGCAGAGTATCAGATCAGGTGATGGAGAGTATTCTGATTAGAACAAATAGTCTACAGTTGGCCTAAAAGAATTGTACTTTTTATACGTGACCAACTTTGAAGGAAATGCAGAGGATATTATGGTAGCTTATATTTGCTCTCCTTGCTTCAAATATTTCTCCTTCTTTTCCTTCGGTTTCTGACCTTCTTTCCGTAAATGCGAAGAAAACTGGCACTTATCGAGTCCTGGCACATGTAAAGCAGTGTGCTGGGCAGTATGTACGTGATCTCCTTTGCCAGGCATTTACGGAAAGTTGGTCCTTTTACTCTTCTCAACAGTCCTGTATTAATATACTTAACACCAACTTGATTTTTCAAATTAAGAGTTCATCTATCTAAACAGACACACCTGGTGTCTGGTATGGCTATGATTTGGGTATATCTGACTCAAAACCCCACGTCCTGTCATGCTCTATATGCAGATCTCTTTGTTCTCTAAAAGAAATCAAATGAGTGAAGTAACACAAGTTCACGTCTTAAACGATGAAGTCAGGGGTGCTTGGGCCTCTCTGACCTCTTGGCCTGTGGTGGAATTAAAAGGTGGTGTTGCCAGGAGTTCTAGGGTTCTCCTTCTCATGGGGTTGGTGTTTTAGAGAGGCTAGGAAGGTTTCCCCCCATTTTGGAGATCACTCTAGGTGTAGGTACCTGCTCTTCTTAATCTGTCTGTCTGATTTGAATGTTGGAAACAGAGACTTTTAAAAGATCCAGGTTCTGTCATTTGCCACTATAATGAATGCTAGTTAGGAGAAGATCATGGACCAAAATCATTTGTCTCTTGCTGACTGATCTAGGTTTTTCCCCCTCCTCTTTTTCCCCCCCTGTATTTCATTATGTAGACAAAAAAACTTTAATGTGTATCATAATTATGTAAAATCATGTAATAAAATCGTTCATTTATTCTATTCACTGTTTTATCTTCAGATACAGTGCCTGGCATGTAGAAATGTTTTTTGAATGAATATATGAATGAGCGAATGAACATGGAAATGAATAAATAATATTTACCTACTCGTCCAAATGTATTTGTCGGGTGTCAGCTATATACCAAGCACTTTTCTAGACAAGGCAGGTGAGCACCAGAGAAGACCATCATGGTCTTGTTCTGTTGCCGTCACCTCCAGTGAGGAAAATTAGATAATAGTCAAATAAACAATAGGTATTTTAGGTAATTTGGCGGTGGAAATGCTTTGTGGCAGCATCACAGATACTTGGCGTAACCCATGTAGAGGGAGCTGGGGAGATCAGCCGGTCTGACCAGGGGTCTGAGCAGCGCCTGGAGGGCGTCGGGCTGGGGGGACAGGAGGAGACAAAGCAACCAGAGCACACAGTGTGGCAGAGGGTCTCCCCCTAGGCCAGAGGCAGGGGTTGAGACTTATTCCAGTAGCAGCATGAAGCCTTGAGTGTTTTCATAGAAGGTGGGAATGGCAGGATCAGATGTGTATCTTAATCCTTCATCCTTAGGGCGGTGCTTGCCATTGAGTGAACCTTCTGTGATGGCTGCATGCCGGATCAGCTCTGTGTAGCGTTCCTGTTCCTTTTCTTATAAAGATGCCCTTTTAAGCATGGTTTTTCTTTCTTCAGGAAGAAGAGTTGAGGAAAAGTGGAGAAGCCAAGTACTTTCACCTCAACGATGACCTGCATGTTCTCATTGAAGTCTTTGCTCCACCAGCAGAAGCATATGCCCGGATGGGACACGCACTGGAAGAAATCAAAAAGTTCCTCATTCCTGTTAGTACAATTTTCCTTGATAGTTAATTTGCACTTCAAAGTCCTTCTTTTATTTTAATCCATGGTAATTTTTAGCAGTAAGTATTATTTGCACAGCACTTTGTTAAAAGTGTCCCTGTGCATTGGCATTTTTCTTTCTTTATAAATGAGGCAAGGGCTTTTTAAAGAGATCAGATAGGACTGGTAAGGCTAGCCGGCCAAGAAAGTTGAAGAGCATAATCACTAGTTCAAGTTTTGGGACTCACAAGTCCTAAGCCTTTTTGTGACACTAAAATCACCTACAGATCCATTGTTCTCCAGTATAAACCCATCAGTGCCTTCCATGCAGCAAGCACTGTGGGTGGTGTTGGACCAGCAGCCATAAATAAAAGCAGTCCCTACCCTCGAGGACTATGTAGTGTAGGGGAAGGGAGAAGCGTAAGCCAGTGATTTCAGTATAGCATGGTAAATATAATGACAGACCTAAGCATAAGGAGCACAGAGAAGAAAGGCACTGTGCTGATAGTTACCTGGCTTCTGCCAGGTGTTTTATGCTTTGGCTTTTTGTTTGTTTGTTTTTTGGGGTTTTTTTTTTTAAGATTTTTATTTATTTATTTGAGAGAGAGAGAGATCACAGTGGGAGAGGGAGAAGCAGGCTCCCTGCTGAGCACAGAGCTGATGCGGGACTCGATCCCAGGACCCTGGGATCATGACCTGAGCCGAAGGCATACGCTGCACCGACTGAGCCACCCAGGCGCCTCTTATGCTTTGTTAGTGTAACAATTGCTATTCTGTTTTAACCCTTCCCAGACACTTGGACATTGCTAAGAATGTGGTAATTTAAATAGAATGTGTCCCTACCTCCATTATGAAAGTTAATTTAGGTTTTTTTATATAATTTACATGTACTAGATTTAAAAAAAAAACTGAAACATTGAACACTTTGGCTCTTTAGACAATTTATTTAGAGAAGCTGTCATATCTGCCAGACAGCTGCCTGAGGTAAGACTGTCTTCAGCAATCCCAGGTTGGTCTAGTAGATTGACTTACCTACCGTAGCGTATGTGTCATGACTATATTAGCTGTGAGGAAAACTGTTGAATTTATAGGGAAAGGATATCTTAAGTCATGATTGCCTTGGAAAAGCTGAGACATGGGATTGTATTAAGTCATTTTACTTGGGAGCTGAAAATGGTTCAACTTCCTTAATTCCCTCATGATGATCCCAATATGATGCCAATATGATGATCCATTTATTCACTTATTTTTTTGTTTGTTTGGTTTTTAGAGAGGAGGGAGAGAGAGGAGGGGAAGGAGGTAATCTTAAGCAGGCTCCACACTCAGTGCAGAGCCTGATGCGGGGCTTGATCTCACAACGCTGAGATCATGACCTGAGCTGAAATCAAGAGTCAGAACCTTAACCAACTCTTGCCACCCAGGTGCCCCTACTCATTTAGTTTAGAAACAAAGTTTTTTAGTACTTTCTATGTGATAGATACATGGGAACTAATAAAAGACATTATTTTATCTGACCCTGTGGAGTCTATATAATGGAAGAGACAGATAAGAATCAGATATTCATACAAACAGTTATAAAATTGTTATTCCGACAAGACTAAGGAGAGGTTTAATGTCTTAGTGGTCATTCAGGGTGGACTGGGGAGTGCTGACCTAGCCACGTAGGCTGCCACAGGACCTCCCACCCCATCCCCTTTACACTCCTCCACCAGGACATGGATCTGACTTCTGTCCCCTTGAGTCTGGGCTGACCAGGAGAACTCTTTGCTGAACCGAGGGTCACAAAGATTTTTTGCTGTTTTCTTAATTTTTTATAGTATTAGCTTTGTCATTTTAAGTCTATGATCAATTTTACGTTAATTTTTGTGTATGGTATGAAGTTAGGATCTAGGTTTATCTTTTCCTATGTAGATATCCAGCCAGTTGTCCCAGCACCGTATGTTGAAAAGGTAATCCTTTTCTTATTGAACTGCAACACCATTGTTGAAAATCCACTGAACATAAATGTATGGATTTGTTTCTGCATTCTCGGTTCTGTTCCATTGATTTATATGCCTGTCCTTATGCCAGTGTCATGCTCTTAATTACTTTAGCGTTCTAGCAATTTGGTGTGAAATCCAGGTTGTTGATTCTTTTTTAAAGAAAAAGTTCTGTTTCAAAATTGTTTTGGCTATTCTGGTTCCTATGCATTTCTACATATATTTCAGATTAGCTTGTCAGTTTCTACAAAAAGCCTCCAAGGGTTTTGACAGAGGATTGAATCTGTAGCTCAGTTTGGGGATAATTTCCGTCTTAATAATACCTAGTTTTCTAGTCCATGACTACGAAGTGTCTCTACTTAACAGATATTTTTTTGTTTCTTTCAGCAGTTATATAGTCTTCAGGGTGCCAGTCTTAGACTTCTTTTGTTTAATTTATTTTTAAGCATTGTACACTTTCTGATGCTATTGTGAATGGAACTTTTAAAATTTCATTTTCAGGGTGCCTGGGTGGCTCAGTTGGTTGAGCATCTGACTCTTGGTTTCGGCTCAGGTCATGATAATCAGGATCCTGGGATCGAGCCCCGCACTGGGCTCCGTGCTCATTGGGGAGTCTGCTTGAGATTCTCTCTCCCTCTCCCTCTGCCCTTCCCGTTCATGCTCTTTTTATCTCTCTCTCTCAGATAAATAAATAAATCTTTAAAAAATTTTTCATTTTCAGATGGTTACCAGGATATCGAAGTGCAGATGATTTTTATACACTGACCTTGTATCTTGTGACCGTGTTGGGCCATTATTTCTAGTGTGTTGTTTTGGTTTTTATGGAATCATTAGGATTTTCTACATATAGAATTATGTTATCTGTGAATAAAGTATGTTTTATTTCTTCCTTTCAAATTTTAATGTCTTTATTTTTTTAATTTTATTTTCCCTTATCACACTGACTGGAACTTCGAACGCATTGTTGAGCAGGAGTGGTGAAGATGGAATATCTTTGCTTGTTGCTTTTCATCTTTCACCATTAAGTATGATGTCAGCTGTAAGGTTTTCCTTGCTGCCCTTGACCTTGTGGAAGAAATTCTCTTCTGTTCCTGGGTGTTGAGAGTTTTATCATGAATGAGTATTGGATTTTGCCAGGTTTCTTTTTCTGCCCGTTGAAATGCTCATGTGATTTATCTCCTTTTTTTTGTGAATAATAGTATATTGCATTAGTTGATTTTCAGATGTTAAGCCAGCCTTGCATTCCTAGGTGAAATCCCACTTGGTCATATTACATTTTGCTACACTTGATTTACTCGTAGTTTGTTGAGAATCCTTACATCTATAATCATGAGGGATGTTGGCTTGTAGTACAGTATTTTTATAATCTTTGCATTAACCCTTACATTTACCATTTCTGGTGCCCTTCATTTCTTTCTGTGGATAGAGTTGCCACATGGTGCCACCTCTTTTCAGCCCAAAGGACTTGCTTTAGTCTTTCTTATAACCTTGATCTGCTAGCCCCAAAAATTGTTCTGTTTTTTTTTTTTTTTTTTTTTTCAGAATGTCTTTATTTCCCCTATATTCTAAAAGATAGTTCATGTAATTCCTGGCTGACAGTTTTTTGTTTCAGGTGGTAGAAAGAAGGCCAGTCTGCTGCTTTCTGGCCTTCATTATTTTTGATGAGAGGAGTCCTTAAGGATTTTGTTGTTTTGTGCATGATCTGTTGCTTTTCTCTTGCTGCTGCCACGATTTTGTCTTTCTTTCATTTTCATTAATTTGACTGTGATTGTGTATGCTTATCCTCCTTACTCATTAAGCTTTGTGGATCCATATGTATACATTTTTCTTCAAATGTGGGACGTTTTCAGCTATTGTTTCTTTAATATTTTTTGCCTTTTTCTTTCTCCTCTGCTCGCATCGGTCCTGGATTCCCATGATTCGTATGTTGATACACTTGACGATGTCCCACACGTCTCTGCGGCTCCTTTCTCTTCATCCTTTCTTCTCTGTGTTCCTGACCGGGTAATTTTAATTGGCTTATCTTCAAGTGTGCAGACTCATTCTTTTGCCGTCTCAAATCTGTTCTTGAACTCCTTTGGTTAAATTTCATTGTCGTTGCTGTACTTTCTCTTCTTTTTTTCTTTTTCTCTAAAATCTCCCTCTTCCCCCCCCCCCTCCAACATCTGGGCCTCTCCAAGACAGTTTCTTCCTACTGCTCGCTTGCTTGCTTGCTTGCTTTCTCTTTCTTTCTTTCTTTCTTTCTCTGCGTATGGGTCACATTTCCTTGTTTCTTTGCATGTCTCTTAGCTTTTTTTTTTTTTTTGAAAACTCCACATTTCAGATAACATAGCGCATTTGCATTCTGATTCATTTTAGTCTCCAAGGGTGGTGGTTGTTACAGGTTTTTCTTTTCTTTGTTTCTTTAGTCATTTCGTTGGACTAATCTGCAGAGTCCGTCTACTTCATGATTTACGGCTTTGTTCATTTTTTTCCTTCTCACTTTTATTTTAAGCCTGCCCTGCTGGGCACCTCTTCATGTCAGCATTGCTCAGACATCACCAGTGATTAGTCAGAGGCTGCGCTCACACACCTCTGTTAATAAGGCTTCTGCCCTCTGCTGATGGAATTGTAGGGGAGCACCCATAGACTAGTCAGTTGTCACATCTTCCCTGGCCTTTACTGTACTTGTGACCGAAGCTTAATCCCTGCATCTCCTTTGCACGTGCCCAGAGTCACTGTCAGGGAAGGATGTGTGGGGAGCTGTAAGCTCTCTCCAGTCTTGGCTGTACATGTGCATAGTCTTCCATTCAGCAGAGATGTGCCAGATGTCAAGGCTCTCTGTGGCTGTTAAGTTTCTGGCTAGTCTGCCAGTCTGTTGCTTGCCCCACCCCAAACCTGAATATTAGGATTGCCTGTTCACTGGACTTCTATGTATTTGCTACCTAAATTGTTACTGATATTGACAGTGCTGTTGGGTATGAGGGTTTTTCACACTTTCTTCCAAATTAAGTGAACTTCCTCTTGCAGCAAACTAATGGTTTT